ATGAGGACCAGTTCCGAACACCAGGAAGTTCTTTGCACCCTTCTCCTCGGCATCACCATAGACGTATCGGTCCGGATCATAATGATCAGGGTTCTCGTAGATTTCAGGATCGCGGAGCGCTGGGTACACGGTAGGGATGATCATGGCGCCTGGCGGAGAGTTAGTAGGTTGAATTTCTTAGAGATTTCAGCACTGACCTTTGGGAACGGTGTAGGTAGGGGTGATTGGGAATGGCTTCTTGGCAAGGTATGGAACCATCAATACTGGAGGACGATATCTCAATAACTCCTTGACGGCACCCTTGGTGTAGACACAGCTCTCCATTAAATCCATAGTAGCACGCCCGTTTCGGTCACCGCCGCGGACACGGAGATTCTCCTCACGAATCTTATCGAGAACATCTGGTCGCTGAGCCATAATCTGGAAGAACCAAGTAGCAGCACTGCTTGTAGCATCTTGAGAGGCAAACAAGAAGGTGAAGACGGTCTGAGAGATTTCGTAGTCGGTGAAGTCGCGGAGCAGAGGGGTTGGCTTCTCAATGCCTTCCATTGAGAGTCCCTTTTCTTGGCGCTCACGATACTTCGCGGAGTCGAGTTGAGCCTTAACCCATCCATCCATAATACAGGTGATTTCACCACCAGCAGCCATTCGCACCTTGGACTTGGCAGCACACTTGGCGAATTCTTCGATGACCACATCTGCGGCCTTCTTTCCGTACCAAGTTTTAGTGAATGGAAGGATAATGGGGAAGTTGACAAGCTCCAGAGCAGCGGTAATGTTGTAGTAATCATCGGCGATCTTCTTGATAGCTTCATCCGAGATGTAGTAACCAACGAAAGTTCGGCATGACACAGCACACATGAGTTCGCGGAACTCAGCCATAAATGGAACGGGCTTTCCTCCAGCTTCCTTGGTTATCTTCGCATATCTTTTGAAATAGATGTCGTAGACTTCGTCCTGGCCTGGCAGATAGCATTCGAGAGCTTGACGAGTGAATAAGCCGTTCAAACCCTTGCGAAAATCGACATGTGCCTTTCCGTCGAGGAATACCCAATTCGTCTTTCCCAACAACTTATGTGCAGCATCCACGACGCAAGGTTTGACGAATCCGGGAGAGTTGAAGACCTTTCGAGCCATATCGCGGGTGGAGGCAATAACAACGAATCTGATACAGCATTAGAATCGACATTGGGGATCCTAGGGTGTGTCTGCATACTTGTGGAAAACCGACACACAGCTCAGATCACCACTCGCCCATTTCGCCTTGTATTCTTCGAATTTTGGGTCCAAGGACTCCATAAAGGGACCGATGAAGGGAAGCTTCCATGTTGGACCTGCGATTGAACCCTTCTGCCACACATAGCTGACTATTGATATGTTAGCACTTGTTTAAACACCCTCCAGGCTCCGTGATATCGAGGCATTCCCTGCACAAAGTACTCGTAGAAGTATATACATTCCGGAAGGTAGCATGCAGCAATTGCCCACTGGCGGAGTAACTTTATAAGCTTCTCACACCAAGCTTGCCCATGCCAACAACTTCCCTCCAGGTCCAACGTAATTTCTCCAGGAAATGTCCACGAAAGTGGGTCATGCGATGAAATCACACCTACATTGATCGTATGCGACCGCTACCAAAAGCGCTGTGAGAACAATTGACCACCAACTGAGCTCTCCAGCTCTGCCCAACAATCCGTCTATCTGGGTATTTCCAACGATCTGAGCATATTTCGCATCTGCCAGGGGCGACGCGAAGCTGACGTTCTGCGCCATTGATCTGGCGATGATGATGCGCCCCTTCGATTAAGGGTCCTATCAACGATGTCGAGTTAAATTCAGGTACGAGATCCGGATGCGCTCAAAAAGGGCAATGGGGATTGCAACGACGTGTGTCCACCGTGGACTTCGAGAAGGAGGGAGTCGTAAACAAAAGGAAACAGTTCCGAGGGATTTCGAAATGGTGAAAGGGGATTGAAGAGGAAGTCAACAAAATGGAAGGAAAATTAGAATTGGAGACCATCTCCGCCAAGCCTAATCGCGGCAGCAATCAAAGTTGCACCACTAAGCGGCACTCGGCACCTTTCCAATTCGGGCCCTGAGATTACAACAACAGAAAACATACAAAATAATCCACTTTACAAAGGGGTAACGTCTGCTGAAGATATTTGTGACAGCTGATTCGAAAAGGGGAAGAGGGGGTAATGATCTCGGTGAGCTTCAATCAACGTGATGTTGTTCACAAAGTCGAGCAATGCAGTGCATCCGGCGGCAGGAACACGAATACGACGGTTACCAATCAACCCGATTTGACGGAGACCTCTCCGACGTATTGGTCAAAAGGGACACTCATAATTACTGACCTTTTGGGTCTCTTGTATGTTATTATGGGCATCCTCTATGCGCTCAACACTTTCTGATTGGTTACTGGCTGGGATATTACTTATTTTCCTCACCGCCGGTCTTTCTCTACAACGGACGAAGCAACCTGCTTTCTGGAGACCGCTGGCTGGCTTGATGTGTGCATATGCATCATCAGTATGCATCTCTGAACTGAGCAAATGCACCGAACCTAAAGAGAGAGAAGAATATCAAGAAAACACGTGAGCCATGTCTGGTCTCTCCAATTCGTCTGCAAATCTATTCCCCTCAGAACGTATCTGTTTCTCGCTGTGCTATGCCTCGCCTCTTCGTAAATTGGAAGAATACTTGGACATTAATCAGTAAGAACTTTATTGCATGTCATTCCACTGCCGGCTTCAGACATCCAGAGGATTCTCAAAACCCCTCACAGAGCATTACGCAGGTTTCGTTGCATATCTACTCCCAGTGGACGCTATCTGGGCTCTCTAGTGCCCCCATTCCGCTTCCTATTCGCTAGCTTTTCAAGTAAATGTCTATGCATTGGGAGGACTTTGCTTTACTTTGTTGCACGTCTTATGCCTGCGGAAGATCTGCGGAGACTTCCTATTGGTCTGCTAGTTCTATGCAACTCGATCCAAAATGGACCTCAACCTTATTTTGTTGCATATCTCGTTTCTGCGGACGAACTACGGAAGCTTTGTATTGGTTCTTCGCAGTGTTTTGAATGTCCCTGCTTTGAGAGGACGATGGACATCGGAAGTTTCGCTGCAAATCTCACCCGCTCCGGCACGATCGATGCTGTCCGCCCCCAACCTTCGTTTGGTGGTCCAACCTTGAATTTCTATACCGCTCTTCCTTCACCTTTACTTCTGCAAAGATAATCTCAGATGCCTTTGGACAATGGAAAAGATTCGTTGCACATCTCAGTCTAACGTGTTTGCTCCAACAAGTCTTATCCCCTTCTTCTGATCAGCTTAACTGTCAGGCAAATATGTAGTTCGGGATGTGAATGTACTAAATTATTTAAGGAATTTCGTTGCACAACTACGTTGGCGCTAAGCCAGTCACAGGGCAGAGCTTTGCCAACGTAGATGTGAAACGAAAGCTTTCAAAGTACCATGGCTGAAAGGGCAACTTCAACTTCTCGTTGCACATCTCGTCGACGTACTGTGGTCTCCAAAGTACTCAGATTCAAGGACACTGAGAGAGTTTCGTTGCGCATCTTATCCCCGCGCTAGGGTCTCCAAAGTACCACATTCAACAGCATAAACTCAACTGTTTATTGGCCATCTAGCATACGGCGCTACAATCAAAAGTACCAAAGTCCACTGGCATTGAAAGAGTTTCGTTGTGTATCTACTTGGCAACGCTACCGTAATGAAGCAGAGCCTTGCGGACGTAGGTGTGCAACGAAAGTTATTTAATGAATTTCGTTGCGCTTCGTACTGTAGAAACCGATATCGGCTTGGTCTATTGCACCTCTTCGCTGGGAAGTTGAAGGTGAAGTTCTGCAGGTTACAAGAGGAGGATGCCAAATTCACAGGGTTTTCAGGACCACAAAGCCTTTTGTTGCCCTTCTCTGTTCTAGCCAAGATTGCTTGGAGCTATTTCCACTCAGTCTGGCTCTTTGGTATGTACCTGGATATGACGATAATGATGAGAGGGAGATTTCTGTTATGTGCTAGTGGCCTTTCAATTTGCAAACAACTGGGGAATTGCATTTGGTCTACTGGTGGTAGTCATTGTGGTAAAAGTAAGACTGGACGTTGTGATAAGATCGCTCCATCGCTCCATCTCTCCTACAAACTCATCTCAGCTGACCTGTGTTCCTGCCCTTCGTGACAGAGCTTGACGAGGTCCCGCTTACTCCTATCCAAATTGAAGCCGCTATCGATCTTGTTCATGCTCAAATACCTCTGCTGATGTGCCAGCCGCATACGATCATTCTCATCTCAGCCATGACAGTTTGAAGGGGGTGGTTGAAAATAAGACGTCGAGTTGACAGAATAGGGTTCTAGGTAAGCGCTAGAGGTTTGACTGAGACTGCATTGAAAATATCTCTCGAACTTTAATGTTAAGGATACTGCGTATGGTGGTTAATACGACGACGGGTCCGCATTCGGAAGGGGAATACCACTGGGTCATTGAAGGGCTCGAATTATTGTGAGTAGAAGTTGGAGCTTAATTATCGAGGGACAAATCCCTGAAAAGCACATCCTAGGACCCAAGTTGCACGGTGATCAGCCGAGCATTTAAGCCCCAATCAGTGGGCGTTGTGAGGCAGAATTGTCGTTAGTTCGCAGGGATGAGAGCAACTCTGAGCAAATTTCCAAGCCACCTTATGTAGGCATGGCGTCTAACAGGCACCATTGTCAAATCGATATTTACATGGTGTGAAGTCGCGACGGGCCAGGTAAGGTGATGTGCGTGCTCCATCTGAAGCTATCGATTCGAATTTAAATATCCTGAAGTGTACTCCTTTTCTCGACAATGGGGGAGTGAATAAGCAAGCCCTGCCCTTTCTGCTCCGCTCCACGTCCGATCAAAAAGAGCATTACCGGTCGTAAGAACGAGTAGGAATGTCAGAGGAGCCGGAAAAAAAATTTGGTTATTTTATATAAAAAATTTTTTTTTAAACTAGGAGGCGGTTGAAATCGAACCAACGTCTCACAAGCTGACAAGGTGCTCGTCCGTTTCCTACGTATCAAGAATTGCTTCCTTCATTTCCGGGCCTGGAGGAGCAGCACACCTTTGTTTGTGCGAGTTGAAACCACTACTCTACGCCTCCTTTGCAGTTGGTTAGGAGCGTAAAATGCTTATTTAAATCTATACTGATCGCCCGATTGAGGATGAATGGCAGTGGAACTGAATAGCTCTCGCTTTTAGGAAGACAGAGGGGGAATGGGCAAGAAAATGAAGTTCAGCGTGATCCATCTTGTTTTGCAGTCCAAGAAAGTGCCTTTACGGAACAACTCTGAAAGGTCTCCGTCTCTATCTGGTTCAAGTGAATGGAGAAAGAAAATCAACAAGGTATACTTCATTCTTACTATGGTGCCATTTATTTCGGTTTCAAGAACTCATATGCAATCAAGGCATGGATCTGAGCAACCTTAACAAGCTCACCGGCCATCACATATTCATCTGCGGCACCCAACGACAATAGTTGGGATATCAGCCGCACGGTATAGCCTTGAGTCCGACGCACCAACTCGCATGTTTACCACGGACTTGGTACCCAGGCCCATGACTTCCTCAGATGCTGACAGCGCTGTTTGAACAAGAGGATGTGTAGGCGATGTGTACGTTGGCTTATGACTCCTGATCATCCGCCAACTCACACCAGGCATGGCATCAAGACTTTTGTGGAGATGCTCTTCGACTTGAGCAACTGAGATCCCAACTGGCAGTCGTATGTCGCCCTCAGCAGTGGCTTCACTAGACATGAGGTTACGAAGTGTGCCGCCACTGGTAGTCCCGATATTGACAGTAACTCACTGTAAAGTCTGCGGCTCGCCTTCACCAGGTGCTGCTTCGGATACCTGGCTTGCCGCCGCAATGGCTTTGCTGACCTCACGAGGAGCGTCCACAACGAAGTTTTCCAGGCGCTCTACAGCATCCAAGACCTTCCGCAGCCGATCAATGGCGTTGATTCCTTTATGAACGTGTGCACCATGAGCAGAAACTCCACAGGCTGTGATTTCGAACCAGCAGAACCCCTTCTCACCGAATCTGACAACATTGGGCGAGCCAACATCACCGCAGACCATAGCATCACCCCTCGCAGCTTCGACATTGTCTAGCAGCCATTTAGTACCCAAAGAACCCATGCTCTCTTCATCTCCAGCAAGCGTAAGAACTACCTCGCCTGACCAGAGGTGTTTTTGTTCTGCAAGTACAGTTGCAGCCATAATCGATGCCGCAATCCCGCCTTTCAGGTCGGATACACCTCGTCCATATACTCGTCCATCTTTCAACACGCCATCAAGGGTGGGACTGTCCAATTGAGGTGTTCGCAGATCGGATAGGTGTCCATGTGTCCATTGAAGACAAGTCTTGGGCCTAGACGACCGCTTGAAATCCTAGCGACTATGTTAACGATTCCTGGCGCTGTTTCATGCCGTGTGACCTCTGCTCTAGAGACCTTTCCCAGGAGATCTGCGGCAGCTTCTGCCACGAGTGTTGTGTCGCCTGGTGGATTGAGAGATGCTGCAGCTACGAGATAATGCGTGGCTGAGATGATGTCCTGCTTTCGAAGGGAGATTTGACTCTTCAATTGTGACCGAACAGATGATTCCGCCATCCTATCGGTTTGTCTGCAAGTCAAAGAATTCGGGAGAAGGGTTCGTTATCAGGCTGTATTCTTGCTCTCTCCTTGGTTCGAAGAAGCCCTTCAACATGCCCACCTTTCAACCTGCGCCCGTCGCCGACTTCGCCCGTAGGAAAAAAGGATGTGCGTCGACCATGTCAAAAATGTTGAGCTCCGAGATCCTCCTGAATACGTTCAAGGTCGTCAATACCTACTGAATACGTTTGGAAGAGGGGGTGGTTGTATCTATATTTTGTCTCCCACGCTAAGACCCCTGCTAGCCGATTATCAACGTCCTCCCACCTCTGGGACTTCAATCACTCTCCTCAAACAGATATTATTTTGCTAAAACAAAACACTATTCGAAAATCACAATGTCTTACAAAGATATGCAATAATACCTTCTTCTCTTACCAAGTCCGTGTCTCTTTCTTTTCTCGAAAGATTCCAAGTATTGGCTGAGCAAAGGCATGAAAAAGTTGACATGAAATGCCAATACAAGCTAAGGAGGGCCTCGATGCTCTTTCTTACTGTCAGCTTTACATGAAATTTGTATCAGAAGTGATAGCTAGAGTAAGAGCTAGTGAAAAGTCGTTGTGTTATCTTTTGCTATTTGAGTTGTGCCTGTATGCTATCGAGGCACTGTTTGCAATCCTGACTTCCGCTTCTGAAGTCCCTGTAGGTGCGCACCTACATACGGGCTACCGAAAGTGATGGATAGATTCAAGATCAACAATTATACTTCCTAAAAATGAATACGTCAAAGGTGGGGAGACTTAGTTCAAGCGGACTAGGTAGAGTACCATGACTTGGATGAGTCTAGTTCCCGCAGAGTTGATATCATTCAATTAGAGTACATTCTGCAGCACAATCATTACACACTGTTTGTTGAGCTCCAGCAACCTCGCCTCCTCAGACTGGAAGTTTTGCCCTCGCCCACCATGGAGTCTCGTCGCGAATCTCCAAATACGTTGTCCACAAAGCGCGAGAAGGCCTCCCCAGAGAGACCTGCAGCCTTGCCGAATTCGAACCAAGATCATGAAGCAGGGTCTACGAACATCGATCAATTACATGCCCTCAAACACAAACTCACGGCCCGCCATCTCTCCATGATAGCACTCGGAGGCGCTTTGGGGACTGGTCTCATTATCGGCACTGGCCCAGCACTTGCACGAGGCGGTCCTGCTGCAATTCTGATCATGTACGCCCTTCTTGGCTTTGCCGTATACTGTGTACTAGGTGCACTTGGAGAGATTGCAACGTGGCTGCCAATGTCTAGCGGTTTTGCTGGGTACGCCTCCAGATATGTAGATCCTGCAATGGGCTTTGCTCTTGGCTATTGGTGAGTCTCCCCTATGTTTTTCAAAGATGGTCTCAGTGAACGACAACTGACATCTCGACGGTTATTGGTTCAAATATCTCATTCTTCCTCCGACTCAACTGACTGCAGCTTCCTTGATTCTACAATACTGGGTGTCTCGGACTCAAACAAACCCCGGGGTCTGGATTGCCATATTTCTCGTTGTCATTGTCATATTCAACTTCTTTGGCGTCAAGTTCTTCGGCGAATTGGAATTTTACCTCAGTGCTCTGAAAATTGTCATTGTAGTAGGACTCCTCATTTTGTCTGTTGTGCTCGTCTCTGGAGGAGGCCCAAATCACGATGCCATAGGCTTTCGATACTGGTCGAACCCCGGCGCCTTCAATCACTTCATTCAGGGTAAGACCCATCTCACGTCGCGTTGTACTTGGGTTCTTGAATTAACACGTGTACATAGAGGGTACTACGAGCCAGTTCTTCGCCTCAATTGCTGTGCTAGTGAACGCTACCTACGCATATTTGGGTACAGAACTCATCGCCATAACCTTTGGTGAAGCCGAGAATCCACGACGCAATATTCCTCGCGCGATACGTCTCACATTCTATCGGATTACCGTCTTCTATATTCTCACTGTTCTCTTCCTCGGCATGCTAGTCCCATACAACTCCCCCCGAGCTCATCACCGCCAACTCAAAATCAACATCAGCCTCTGCATCCCCCTTCACAGTCGCAATACACAACGCTGGCATCTCAATCCTCCCTGGGATCTTCAACGGCTGTGTCCTCGTTTTCATCTTCTCAGCCGCGAACAGCAATCTCTACATCGCTTCCCGAACCATCTACGGACTCTCTGTCGAAGGTCTCGCGCCCTCCATCCTAAGCCGTACAAACAATAACGGAGTGCCTGTTTGCGCACTTCTGCTTTCCTCTGTATTCGGTTGTCTAGCATTTTTGAATGTGTCGGACAGCTCTGCTGCCGTATTCCAATATTTTGTCAACGTAGTCACGATCTTTGGAATCCTGACCTGGATGTCCCTCCTCATAACCCACATCTTCTTCGTTCGCGCTCGAAAAGCGCTCCTCATACCCAACTCCACGATGGCCTACACCGCTCCCTTCGGCCTTTGGGGAACATACTTCGCGCTATTCGTCTGTACCATCATCGCTTTCTTTAAGAATTTTAGCGTGTTTGTAAAGAGTAGTGCAACTGGTGGCGACTATGGAGCTTTTGATTATAAGAGCTTCATTACTGGATACATCGGAATTCCGGTCTATGCTATTTTGTTTGTGGGGTTTAAGGTTTTTAATAAGACGGAGTTCAGGAGGCCGGGGACGACGGATCTTTATACGGGGAAGCAAGAGATTGATGATTAAGCGGAGTTTTTGGAGAGGCTGCATAGGATTCATGGGCCTGATGGTCCGAAGAGGTGGTATAGGTTTATTGCTTGGCTGTTCTGAGGGAGGATTTACAGCTTTGTTGCGATAGCGTACCTGGAATACAGTTTTCGAATCAGACTTTGGACGACGAAGAGGTGAAGGATAGGGTACTGTGAAAGTGAACGCGAAGAGCAAGCGATGGTTTCAAAAGGGGGGTCACTTCCACTTGCAAGCGATAGATAAAATAAAAGAGAAAAGGTGAAAAAACTGAATTGGAAGTGGTTGGAATCGAACCAACGGCTCATGATTAGATACTGGAGGATGCTGCACCCTCCGCTGGGGTGATCCAATACGGGCCTCGGGGAGCTACCCAACTCAGTACTTCTCGTGCGCTTTAACCACTAAGCTACGCCTCCATTTATAGATTGATGCCCCGAAAAATTCTTATTTAAATCTATACAGCACTCGGGTGTTTTGTTTCGAAGCCGAAATGCTTGCCAGAGACCGAGCCGAGTCTCGCTTACAAGCAAAAAGGGGAGACCAACCGGCCGAGACTCGTCCAGGACTTGCTCACTTTCGCCAAAACAGGAACCAGTGACCAGCAAAGAAGGTTTTAACAAACAAAAAAGAAAGAAGGTTGGAGGCGGTCGGACTCGAACCAACGATTCACGGTCGGAAGCCAAGGAACTGCCAGGCAGTCTCGATGACAATATCATTGCAAGAAACTCGCAATAATTCTTCTCGTTTGCTTTACCACTAAGCTACGCTTCTATGTTGTGGGATTGTTGGAGAGAAAAGTTGATATTTAAATCTACAGGACCATCTAAAAGTATTTGTGTAAAGGTGACTTGGTGGCGAAAGGAGGACTCGAGCCAGCAAAACCTCAATACTTTTCTTCGCTAAAGCAAACTTGTAGTAGTGTTAGAAAGGAGTGACACATCAAAGTACTAGAAAGCCAGGGACATTTGGAGAACATAACAGCTGAGGACCCAAGTATGATCGATCACTACTGACTTTTTAAAGCTCTCATCGAAGAAACCTCGATATTCAGCTTTGTTTTGCTTTCCAAAGGTATAGAAATTGTAGGGCAATTGACTATGCTGTGTCGTTAACTCTGTACATCATCAAGTGGCAAACGGAAAAAACCTCAAAAGTCAGTGCAATCTCCAAAAAAGTAAACCAACATCTTTGGAGGCGGAAGGAATCGAACCTCCAATCACAATCCGAAGCTGGGGCTGGTCTGGCTTAGGTTCTCCCGATGAACACATCTCCGGTGGACCTCTCCATTTGAGCAGAAGCTTGTTTTTTTTTGTGCTTTTCTGATTCTAGGCCCTGGTGTCTCAGAAAGTGGAGGGTTCACCGATCAAGCCTATCCAACCGACCAAGTACTTGTGTGCTCTGACCATTGAGCAACGCCTCTTGATGGATGGTGAATTTTGGTTGGTGACGGGCATTCGGTAGTTTGATACTATAGGGATGCGAATGGGGAGGGTACTGGAAGAGAGAATGGGGAGATTTCGGGTTGAAGGGAGTCTCGGGTATGTGCTGTTTGCAAACGGAGGTGCATAAGGTGGATCAAACGGAGGAAGCATGGAAGCATGTGTCGAGACAGCTACCCTCGTCGGCGAAGAAGCGATGGAACTGAAGCAGTGAAGTAAGACACTAGGCAAGAACATTTAAGGTAGTGCAACAAAGGGTCATCGAAGTAGATTGGAATATGAGAACTTGGAGGTAAAATCACAATCGTTTTACGTAGATTGCGGACCTAGGTATATCAGAGAACGCCTCAACTATGCATCTGACCTCTGACCATCGAACTAGATCGGTAGACCGAGCCCCCTCATCTAGGTATATCTGGAAAACACAACGCATGCAAGTATGATAAATGAAAGCATCCCATGCAGACCTTCATACGCTCAAAGCAGAATCGCCACACGCACGCAATGCCTCGAAAAAGTAACCCATATGCCGGCCCAAACTCCACCCATATGTGCCGTGTCCCATATGCCATCCTCTATGCGCAACTCCATTGCCACCCATTCCCATAATGAACACATACAAAAGAAAATTTCTATTTAAACAAGCTCCTCAGATCCTCGAGACGCTTCCTCGCTGCCTCGGCTTTATCAATTCGACCGCGACCTTCACTGTCCATGCTCAATTGTGCAAGCTTTTTCTTCTTTTCTTGCAGCTCGAGCATCTTCTCTTCGAAACTGTCGTTCATAATGTACCGTACGGTCTCGACCTCGCGTTTTTGACCGAGTCGGTGGACACGGTCGACAGCTTGGGCTTCTGCGGCGGGGTTGTATTGAGGCTCCATGACGTAGACTTTGTTTGCAGATGTGAGATTGAGACCGAGACCACCTGCTGTGATGGAAACGAGAATGACGAGGATAGATGGGTCATCACGGAAATTCTCCATTGATTGTCCGCGAGCAGTACGGGACATCTTGCCGTCGAGTCGGCAGTACTTGATCCCATTCTCTTGGAGAGCAAACTGGATGAGGTCCAGATGTGCAGTCCAGCCTGAGAAGACAACACTCTTGATCGGCGCCTCGTCTGGCATGAGCTCAGATTCTTGCTTCGATGCAAGCAAGTCTGCAATTAGTGCCTTGGTCTTGGTGTGGGGCCCACCATAGCCTTCAATCTCCTTGCTATGCTTGGCATTGTCCTTGGTCTTGGCACGACACTCTTCCTGAGCTTCAACACCTCCTTGTTTGAGAGGGAAGTACGGAAGCTTGATGACTTGCTGGCAGATTGGGCAGCTGATCATGGATTGACCCCGAGCGACGCCCTCCATCTCAGCCTTGTATCTATCAATGCAGGCATTGCAAACGATATGAAAGCATGGGGTCATATGACCGATGACTTCATCTTTAGGCTCTCCATCCGAGTCAACTGCTTCTCCGGGGCCAATCTTCCGGAAACAAGTTACACAAGTGTCCGCGTTGGTCTCCTTCATCAGGTTGTACATGTCGTAGGCTTGCTTCGCAGACAAAGCTGGTCTGTCATCTTCGTCATCACTGTCTAGATCGATGGCTGAATCCTTGCTGAGACCACTCATCACCTTCAAATCCTCCTCGCTTAGAAGGTCTCTACCATGAGCACAGATGAGTCGCAGGCGGAGAATCGATTGCAAGATGTGGACGTAGGACTTTCCACTCAAGCTCTTCTCCCTCGCGCCAACAATAACCTTGACTCGGTCGTTAGCGTTCTTGGCAAAGATCTCGTAAATCGCTCGCTCTTCAGTACTGAAGTCAAGCTTGACAAGATGATCTCGGCGAGCAGGAAGATCGATTCTATCCTTGAGACGCCGAAGAGTAATGCTGTCAACCAGTAGTCTCAGCTTGGGTAAGATCTCAGGGTCGCACATCTTGAATGGAGCCATGATGTACTGAGCGAATCCTCCCTTCTCATCAAACGGCTTGATGCGTAAGAATGTCATCAGAGCGCCCAGATCCTCTAGACGATTCTGAACCGGGGTTCCGGTCACAGCCCATCTGCGATTGGCAGCCAGTCTGCAGATTGCCTTCGCCTGCTGGGTAGACTGCTCTCGAATCATATGGGCCTCGTCCAAGACGATTCTGAACCAGTTGATCTCCTCCATCGGATAAGTGCCATGCTTTTTCTTGCTTCGATGGTTGAACTCGCTAGAAATGGAGCCGTATGTTGTGATAACAAGGTCGAATTCAGCAAGCTTATTGATATCCTTGATTCGGTTTGGTCCATGGTAGACATGATACTTGAGTGTGCCCGGCTTGATGTGCTGCTTGATCTGTTCCTCCCAGTTGGCTATGGTGCTGAGAGGTGAAACCAGCAAGGTCGTCTTCGCATTGAGAATAAGTGGAGTCTGTTCGAGCTTCGGCAAAGCTGTCTTTCCCTTACGCACAGGACAAAGATCTCGGTCATCCTTCGATGCACAAGGAGCCTGCTGCGACCACTCAACGGACTCGTGGTCAAGGGTCGACATGACCAGTGACAAGATGCTCAGAGTCTTGCCGAGACCCATCATATCGGCCAGAATACCACCAAGGACTTGGGGCGGGCTCTTCCGTTCTTCCTGACCAGTGATGACATTAAGATAAGTTCTTTCGCCACTAGCAGAGATATTGAGACGCCACAAAGAGCTGTTAGATTTGTCTTCTTTACCAAAGACACGTTCCTTCTCCTTGTTAGTCATGAAATACAGACCTTGCTTTTGATGTGTAAGAAGCTCGGTCGTGATGCGAGGATCTGCCTGCAGTTCTTGGAGGTTCTCGGAACGTTCTAGATTGTCAAACATTGACACAATATCATTTCGGATCTCTTCGGTGGTTCGCTGGGGTCCTTGCGGACGCGAGCCATAAGAGTATGGTGCAGAGGGCCGAGCTTGAGGCATAGGAGGCTTTTGTATGGTATGTGGGTTATGTAGCTCGACGCCAGCCTCAACAAACAGAGGAGTCCGGAGGAAGAGTCCTTTTTGAGATAAAAAGCGTCCAACCTGAAGGGCGTATTTCTTGGGCCCATATATGTTCAAATCGAGCCCATATCGAACGGAGACCGCACTACCAGGGGGCAAATCACCTTCTTTCTTTTGTCGGGCAAGAATCCTAGATGCTGTTCGAATTCCGAATTTGGAATCGAGCACAGGTGTCAAGCCGATAGCAGTGTTGACATCCACGCAACCAATGATTTCACGGGTGCAATCGACTGCATGGATGACGTTAGTCTTCTCGTTGTGCCGCCTTCGCAGCACAATCTTGACTTGGGGCCAGAAGCCCTGGGATACAGCCACGGTTCCTGGCTTTGCGGCCGGGACCTTGAAGGCAAGAATTTCGGATCCTTCGATACGACCGTAGCAGACCTCTCTGTCCTCGGAGTCCCCCAGGACTTGGATGTCGTCGTCATCGTCGATAGTCGAGATATCCACAGGCGCCGTGCCTCTTGATTCTGCTTGCTTCCGGCCTTCCTCTCTTTGTTCCCTCATGTATTGGCCTATGACTCCGCCCTTTCCACCACCGCTGAATTCGCCCTTTCCCTGCTGTTCGCGCTCGTCGAGCATCTTCCTTCGCTTCTGAGGAATCATGTCCCGGTCCACCACATTGTTCATGCGCTCCAGCATATGACCCATGCCCATATGTCCGTTTCCATTTGCATACGAAGCAAACCCATTCCCGTTGGTGCCATTTTGTTTCATGCTTTCGTGATTGGGAGAGGGCGAGGGATGGCCATGGTAGCTAGAATGTGGCGAGCCTCCCGGGCTATCAAACGTGAACGTAAGGTTGGTATTGGTAGCGGCATTCGAGAAGCCATTCGGTGTACTGGTATGCGACGGAGTGGGATTGAAGCCTCGAGGATTCAACAAGGCAGCCGGGGTCCATTGTTGCTGTGGGAAAGCGGGCATACCGTTCACAGTCATGGGGGTATTGTTTAGGCG